GGGTCAGGCTGCTGAGGTGTGTGAGGGAGGTGAGCAGTGATGGTGAGAGAGTGGAGGGCAGCGAGATGTGGAGAGATGGGGTTGGGATAGAGATGGAGAAATAGCAGGGGGAGCTGGTTGAGACAAGGAAGGTGAAGAGAGGGGAGGGAGGAAGAGGATGAGGAAGGGGAGCGGACAGGCAAGGATGGCAAGGGGCATGAGTGTGGGGAGGTGGAGGAGGATTGGGCGGAGCTATTGGGAGGAGCAGCTGGTGTGATTGGTGGTGGTGCAGGCGATGCTGTTGATGATGGTTCAGTGATCTTCAAGGTGGATGGTGGGAGGGAGTGCAGCAGCAGTGGGTGGTGGTGGTGGAGCTAAGTGAATGGAGGTGAGCAGAGGTTGGAAATAGTGCAGATCAAGTGGAGATTGTCGCTTCACTCGATGTGAGTGAGTGATGTTACATTGGACATGAAGCCTTTATTTATTATTATTATTATTTTTCTTTAGGTCCGGAACCAGTGTTCCCAGCCATTGCGTCCTTCTGTGCGTTTACATTGTGCCACGAATCTGCCTGTTTCACTTCACCATACTGCTGTTCCTTGCTGGTCAACACACCAGGTCCCTTATGCGCAGCAGCAATGCAAGGAACTGGTTTTTAAGGCAAAGAGGTGAGTAGGAGAATGTATCACTCGGGCTTGGAAAGGATGTGTGCAGGCCCTCAGATGTCAGCGTAAAACACGCTGATTACGCTGATTTTGTAGCTCTGAATTTCGTTTTCCCAGGAAAATCAGTAAATGCTTCCATTTTGGGCTGAAATTTCAGTAAATGTGAGTTTGCCACACTGACGGTTTTGTGTGTTTCTGAACGAGTTACACTGAGGAATCAGTATACTTCAGTGCGTCACCCTGAAACGGATTTGACCGGCCGGGGGAAAGGGGTGGGGGGGGGGGGGGGGGGGGGGGGGGGGGGGCGACGCGTGTACAGGCTGTTCCTTCGCGTGACTCACGAAACCCCACACACACTTGGAATCTTCTCACATGCGCTGTATTTACAGCTAGTGCGCGCCGAACCGTTTTGCCGCGCTGGAAGCCAGAATACCAGAGAACGGCTAACCTAGTTCACAGCTGCCCAATGAGAACACAGACAACACACCACTGGTGGCAGGGTCCACGCCAACACGCCAGGGATGGCAGAGTGGAGTGGGGGTGTTGTCATCTTGCCTGGGAAGACGGAAACCCTAGCCTGGACCAAGATCCCTCGTCATCGCAGCTCGGGAGAGGGGGTACCCCCATCTGCTCCCTCATTCTGTTCCTGCACTCCTCGTGAACCCCTGCAGGAAGTGATGTTCAAGCTGAAGCAGGAGTAGCTTCTCCCTCAAGCTCGGCATGCTCTGCAGCGCTGAGCAGCCATGGCGGTTTCGACGCCTGCAGGTGACGGCCCTCCGCCCGTCGCAGGCACGAGGCCAGCCGCTATTACTGGCTTAGACTTTTTACGACGCGTTCACGCTGCTCCCGCGTTAGTCCCGCCGTCAGCTCAAGCCGTGCCGTTCCCTTCCACTGGCCCCGAGGCACCTACCATCTGGACGCAGGGCGAGTGTTCGACGCATGTAGGCGCTGCCGCTTAACCTCCTGTCACTGCTGCATCAACTCGTGTCGCTGCCGCATCAACGCCTGTTGCTGCCGCATCAACGCCTGTCGCTGCCGCATCAACTCTTGACGCTGTCGGATCTACACCTGCCGCTCCCGAACCCACACGGAACCGTCAACCTGTCGCTGCCGGAACTACTCGGCAAGGTCCTCGTCTTAAAAGGGGTATTAAAGTGAGGTACCACCAGACCAAGATCGGGTGGGGTTCCAGTCAAGCTACACCAACGTCCGGTGTGGGTAACTCTTCCCCGAAGGCCCGTCAGCGTAAAATGAAGGGGAAAGCGGTTGAGGTGTCTTTCGATACAGAACTGCCCGACATTGCCAAGGAGAAATACCAAGAGGCTTTAGCTATGTTTAACAAACAATGGTCTGACGACTACCCGTGGCTTGTACTGCTGCAGAATAAAGCAGGGTTCCCGTCAATCAAGTGCAAGGTCTGCAGAGTGATGATGATGGCAGCAGTAGCAGTAGCGTTCCTTCTTCAGATGATGACATGAGCTAGTTCTCTAGTAGTACTAGTTAGGTAGGTTAGGTTAGGTATATTTATTTTGGACTTTTTTACACTGAAGGATCAGTACAGTGGAAAATTTTACCCTGACAGGATCAGTATATTGAAAACCACCAACGCTGATTTGGACACCTGGTTGGCAGGGGCACACTGATCCATCAGCATACCCTCAAACCAATCTGAGGGCCTGGATGTGTGTCAGCAGCAGATGGTTGCTTTTGCAGCACAATTTGAGAGGGATGCCATGTCTTTGATTATCTTAGTGTGCTGTGCATCCTTGATGCTACTACTACCCCCTCCTCTCTTCATCTGCCACCCTCTAGCAGTTTATGATCTACTTTTCCCATCATGATTATTTAGCAGCATGGCAACATGTTGACATTGATTCGGTGACTTCCTGAGAACCACTTTATGCCCTCTTGTTTTTGTTTATCCTTCTTGGTCTTCCGTATATCCTGCAGGTGCGTGAAGCTCTTGTTACAAGCTCTCAATCCCAGCAGGAATCTTGCCGCATCTACCATGTACTACGAACAGATCCATAGCCAGAAGGGTTCCACACAAAGTGCATTTCAGTATAATGTCATGTATGATGAATGGGTACACTACCCACAATACACACAAAGATGATAGTCTTCTGACAACAAACTACCGCTCACTCGGAGATGCCTGCCTAACATCAGACACATGTGCATAAAAAATCACCCACCTACAAGTATTTAATCCCAAGCATTGTCATCATATTCCCTAGTCCGCACTTGCAGACCATACATTTTATCCAAACCAGCGCATGAGTCTCTCGAATCAAGCAGTTTGTCACAACCTGAAATATTCAGGCAATGCAGCATTCTGAGCTGCATAAAATCGTCAGGAAGAGACTCCAGCTGCTTGCATCCATGCAGGTCAAGATTCTTGAGCCGGCTCAGCTGAGCAAAGTTGAAAGGCAGGGCACTGATAGAAGTGTTGCGGAGGTTAAGGTAATGGAGGCAGGAAAGCTGGGTGAAAGTATCGGGGAGTTGATCCAACTCTGAGCAGCCTGACAGGTTCAGCTCACGCAATCTGGATAGAGCGCCGATGCCCCCTGGGAGGCAGCAAAGTCCAGGAGCATGGATCTCAATGGATGTCAGCCTCTGTAACCACGTAACCATCACTGGTACCAATTCCATGTTGTCAGCCTTTTCTATGCTCAGCTTCCTCAGCTGCAGCAGGGATCCAACCTCATCCGGAAGCATGAACATGCGCCCAGCATTTCGAATTGTCAAGGTGCGGATGTTGGGAACGGCTGCTAGTGGCAATGGGAGATCCTCTGCATCTCTAGGCAGCAACAGCTGCAAGTGCTCCAGGGACGGAAGGGCAATGTCGGTGTTTAGACCACGCAGCAGGCCAACACTTGTCAAGCTCAGTTCCCTGAGCCTAGGCAGAGCAGGGATTTCCAGCAGGGGAATCAGCAGCTGGTGGCTCCCCAAGTTGAGAGCCTCCAGTGATGGTGGCACCGTCATGAGAGCTTCTGGCAGCTGAGGGCATTTGCCCAGCTCCAACTCTCTCAGTCTTACAAGGCTGCTCAAGGTTTTGGGCATTCTAGTGACGTCGCCAGCTTTCAATATCTCGAGGCTCACAAGATCGGTGACGGACTCTGGGAGCTTGTCAAAACCCGAATCGGATTGGAGAAACAACACGCGCAGGTCACTCAGCTTCCCCATGCCCTCTGGAAGCTCGCTCATGGCGTTCTGAAAGATTTGAAGGCTTGTCAGTGAGGAGAGCCGTGTGAGCGATGATGGGAGGTCTGAGTGAACTCTATTCAGGTGGAAACTCTTAAGGTTGGTCAAATCTCCAATGTCTTCAGAAAGTATTAAGTGTGGAGAGTTGATGATGCTGAGAGACTCGAGTGCTGTTAAATCGCCAAGACTTGGAGGTAGTTCGCTGAGGGATTCACAGTCAACTTCTTACCACCTGGCAACATTGGGGTAACATTTCGGTAGGTTTTCCAACACCTACTCCAAAGATTGTGGCCAACATTCCCTCTCGTAACTTTGAAATGACTCGGCTTCAACAGAAACTTCTCGGAATCTAAACCACTGAATCTCAGCCGTTAATCTCATTTACACCCAAATCTTGCTATATCGTAACTTTGAAATGACTGACCAATCGGAGCTCGCTACTTGGTCTGCAGGGATGGGCTACCACGGTGAACCCAAGCGCCATCGACTTCATCGTATTGGTTCGCGACAGATTGTTCTTATTGGTTGCGACAACAATCCGGCGATTACATGGAGTCTACCTGGTTACGATTCTAGTTACGCATACACTCAAACGTAGAATGCAATTATCCTATGCGCATATCAATAAACAGTTGTTACGGCGCTACTACGTTACTTTGTTACTACATATTGTAACAATAAATTTTAGAAATTTTAATTTTACCGTATACGTGAATCACATTTTTTAAAACAATTGTATAAATTATATATTCAATATAAATTTGGATATATTTCCAGATTAATATGCACTCGTTTTTCAGCAAGACGAGTGCTACAGTAATAATTGAGGACCTTCCTCAACTGCTATTACCCATCAAGCACCACGCCATACTCAAATATCATCCAGACCCTCCTGGCTAATAGAAACGCCACAGTCCGAGCACGAAAAGCGCCAGGCATTGTTGGCACTGTCCCACCAGGGACCCGTAGCATTGGTGCTCGTGTCGACTGCGTCTCGCGCCCAACGTCGCACGTTGTTGTGGTACAGCACAACACCTTCTCTGTTCCTTGTCGTGCTGCGGGGCAATTCTTCCCCATGCATGATCTTGTGCTCTACCTGCATGGACATAAGGAGGCATTGATGAATTACAACTAGTATGCGTTACACTCAATTCAGAAAAGGACGTTACACTCACTCACCCCATACAGCCAAAAAGCAATCTGTTTGAGCTTCAGCACAAGGACATCCTCCCCATCGCGGCGGAAAGACGCCGCAATCAAGCGCGTGAAGACAGCTTTGGAGAAAGGGACCCCGTTCTGGTTGCAATGCCACGTGTACAGATCGTAAGACCCATCGACTGCACACACATTCAGGCATTGCAAAACAGATGGGATTGCATAACAGAAGCAACATAGGGAGAGAAGACGGGGCCGGAGTAAACAGAAGAGGGATGAGAACCATATTCTAGCCAACGCCTCTGACTCTCATTCAGCTGTCGGTTTTGTCACTGAGCAGGGGAAGGGAAGGAGAGAGGGGAGTGAAGGGGGGTGAGGTGAGGTTATTGCATAGCCTCGACTACAGCTGGCGATACAAGGCATGGAACAGGGAGTCTACTCACAAGGATTTGGGGAAGGCACATGGGAGAGAGGAGGGAAGTGGGAGTTGAGACAAGGTGGGATGAGAACAGAGTCTTCAGCACCCTCCCTTGAATCGCCTGTGAGCACTATGCTGGCGGTTTTTCACATAAGGACGGGAAGGAGAGAGGGGAGTGGAGTAGAGGAGGGTGGGGTGGAGGATTGCGTAGCCTAGACTACAGCCGGCGATACCAGCTGTGCACCAGTGGGACTGCTGAGATATGGGGTGAGAAGGGTTTAGGGGAGAGAGAAGGGAAGCAGGTGTTGAGAGAAGGAGGTGGGGGATGAGAACAAATTCCTCAGCAACCTCCCCTGAATCGCCTGTGAGCACTATGCTGGCGGTTGTTTTCAATGAATAGGGACGAGAATGAGAGAGGGGAGTGGAGGAAAGGGGGTTGGTGTGAGGTGATTGCTTAGCCTCGACTACGGATGGCGATACAAAGCATGCACCTGTGGGGCTGCTGAGATGTGGGTTGAGTTATAGGGGAGAGAGAAGGAAAGCGGGTGTTGAGGTGGAATGAGAGCGAAATTTCTAGCATGCTTATTGATATCTCCTGTGAGCATCACTGCTGGCGGCTTAGTTCACTGAGAGGGACGGGAAGGAGAGAGGGGAGTGGAGAGAAGGGTGGTAGGGTAAGGTTATTGCCTAGCCTCAACCACAGCTGGCGGAAAAGGCATGCAGTACGAGGCCTGCTAACAGGGATATGTAGTGAGAAGGCAGGACAGAGAGAAGGGAAGCGGGAGTTGACGTAAAGGGGGTGTAATAAAAACGTTTTGAACTTTTTTGTTTCATAAAGCTCTCCTGAATCTCCTGCGAGCAATCTACAGGCGGTTTTATTGATTGAGCAGGGGAAGGGAATGAGTGACGGGAGTGGTGAAGGGGGTTGGGTGGTGAGGTGATTGCCTGGTCTCGACTACTTCTGGCGATAGAAGGCATGCAGCAGGGAGGCTGCTCACAAGGATATGGGGTTGCGAAGGCAGGGGAAAGAGGACGGGAGCGGGAGTTGATGGATGGAGGTTGGATGAAACGGGTTTCTTTCAGCACCCTCCCCTGAATCTCCAATTAGCACTTTGTTGGCAATTTTTTACCTGAGCAGGGGACGGGAAGGAAAGAGGGGAGTGGAGTGAAGTGGGGTGGGGTGAGGTGATTGCCTAGCCTCGACTACAGGCATGCAGCAGCCAGGCTGCTCACATGGATATGGGATCAAAAACATTTCCTTCCAGGTAGTGGGGCAACAGAGACATACCTGGCTTGTATTGCACTTTCCACGCCTCGATCAAGGTGGAACCCATGAGCTTGCGGTTTTGGTCGGGGCGTTGAATGTACAAGTTAAACGCTCTGTAAATACCGCATCGACCGGTATGCAGAATGACATGCCGTCCATCCTGCAGCTTGTTGCGGATATAGCCACGTCGAACTGGGTCAAAAAGATACACATGAAGCAGGTCGGTCCGCTGACCAACCGTCTTGTACTTCAAAGCAGCAGCAAGCGCTCCCAGCAGCACCTTCCGAGATGGCTAGAAGTCCATCCTACCATCCGGCATATCCCAGAAAAGAACGGTGAGTGCATCCAACATTGCCACCTGGTAACAGTGGGGAAGTAACACACGCAGCATGTTGAGGATGTGTTACATTGAAAACCAAGATACGAGATAGAGAAATTGTTGCCTGCGTAAGCATGAGAGGCAAAAAACATAAGAATGTGGATGGCGTGCCAGCATGGAAGGTGCTTACATAAAGCCCTTTGTTGACCTCGGGGACTCGCCTCATCGCTGCAGCAAGGTCGAATGCGAGGACCTCCTGCTCCGGGGTCAAGTGTTGCAGGCCATGCTCGGTTCCCCGGGCGTGAGCGTTCCCAACGGCCCTCCCAAGCAGCCGATCGTTGATCGGTACGATGGGATGCCTTCCTGGCTGCACATTAGCTGCGACATTCCCAGAGTTTGGAGACGGTTCCTGCTGCTCGCCCGCACCACCAGAGGTCTCAGCAGGTGACGTTGACCGAGAAAGCGAATGCCTAAGCTCTTCAAGCTCATTCAACAGCCGCTGGTTCTCACGCTGGAGAGCACGATGTGCGGCACGCGCCTCTTCAACATCAGAGGTCGGTTCTGCCACATGCCCGTGCAGTTCATGATCAGCAGCGTGTGTAGTGGCCCGCCCATACGCATCTCCTGTCTGACCGCCCACAGCATCACCGGCCTCGGTTCCACCAGCGTTCGGGATGAGTGGCTCGTCTGCTCCAGAGTTGGTCCAGGTCCTCCCATTGGCCTCGCCAAAGTGGCCGCCAAGCTCGGCGCCTCCAGGCGGGGAGAACACGCCGTTAGTGTTGGTGTCGTCGGGGATGCGCCTCGCGGTTGGCCTTAGCAGCACGCCAGCAGCAGGATTGGCGTCGGTCCTCCAAGCAGCCTGGCCTAACACGCCATCAACAGCACGGTCGGCAGAGGTCATGCCAGCAGACGGGCAGAAAGGGGCGTCCGGAACCGGTTCGCATGACGGCAGGAACATGCTGCCATCATGGGTCTCAGTGGAGGTGTGCCCAGCAGCTATCGTGCGCATCTCGTCAGGAGCATGGTCGGCTGTAGGTCTTCCAGTGGTCTGGACAAAATGAGCACCAGTAGGAGTGTTGGCAGAGCTCCACCCAGCCACTTGTCCCAGTTGGCCCCCAGCTGAAGGGTCAGCGGATCTCCTCCCATCCTCGTGGCCCGACCGACAACCTGATGCAGGGTCAGGAGAGCTCCTCCCAGTGGCCTGGCTAAACGGACCGCCTGGTGCAGGATCAGGAGAGCTGTTCAATGCGGTTTGCCCCAACGAACCACCAGGTGCAGGATCGCCGGAGGTCAGACCCGCAGGCTGGCGGAACAAACCGCCAGATGGAGGGTCAGGAGAGCTGCTCCCTGCGGCCTGGCGCAGCTGACCGCCCGGTGCAGTGTAGGCCGAGGTCGTCCCTGCAGCGTGGCGGAACTGCTGACCTGTGCCAGCAGCAGCAGACGTCAGCCCAGCGGTCTCGCCAAGCAGCCCGCCAGATGCAGCAGCCGCGGTGTTGCTCCCTGCAGCGTGGCGGAACTGCTGGCCTGCGTCAGCAGCAGCAGACGTGCGCCCAGCGGTCTCGCCAAGCAGCCCGCCAGATGCAGCAGCGGCGGTGTTGCTCCCTGCAGCGTGGCGGAACTGCTGGCCTGCGCCAGCAGCAGCAGACGTGCGCCCTGCGGCATTGGCGGAACTCTGGCGGGCCGCCTGACCTGCTCGCCGCCCACCCGACCGGCCCTGACTTCCAGAACGCAGAGAATGGTGAGCAGATGGCGTTCCCACGCCATTGACGTGAGCGGAAGTCGCATCACCACGCGAGGCCGGGATTTGTGGAGCATGACCACTGGTGTTGAGCGGCCGATTCTCCTCGTGACGCGGCTGACTTCCTACCGCGTCGGAAAACACAGCGTGTAAGGAGCGCGTCCGAACAGGACCTGCACAAATGAGATCCAGCAACAATGTGTCAATATCTCTCATTGGCCTGCGGAATCAACACAAGGAAGCTAGAAACAGAGCGTAAAATGGTGTGCAACAAAACAACATAAAAAAACTCACTTTTCGGAGAAGATGGTCGAGCCGCCACGTTGATACCGAGAGAGGTAGCATGTCCCATCGATGCAGCACGAATTGCCTGGGTTCCGGGCATCGCAGGAAACCGGCCATTTTGGCGACGCCCGCGGATGGAAGAGATTAGGGCGGAAGCAGTTGCGTTAGACTGTTCCATGACAGAAGAAGTAGAGAAGCTTTGAAGAGTGATTCTCGGTAAGTTTGTGCGGAAAATGAGGCGGACCCGCCATTATATACTACGAAAATAGCGTGACTCCTGGTGAGACGGTGGAAAGTAAGGCTCGTCACTGAATCAGGCTTGGGAATAAGGTGCGGTGAGGCAACGCGCCGGCAGCAGTTGACGATCCGTAGCAAAGCTGAACTGGACGCAAGGCCTGGTGGCAATCTGTGGTAATGACCGTGTCACTGAATCAGGCTTGGGGAGGGAGGTGAGGTATGGAAACGCGTTCACAGCATGTGACGTTCCCTTACTTAGTTGAGAACTGGACGCTAGGCCTGGCGGATATCTGGGGTAAGTGGCTCTGGTGGTCGGCCAGGGTTGGTACCGAACACTAGGCATGGTGTAAGGTGAGGTTAGTAGCTATGGTCGTGGGCTAGGGTTGGCACAGAGTTCTCAAGTTTGAAATCTCATTATTCAAACAGCCGAACAGAGCAGGTAGAGCAAGGCCAAGGGTTTGAAAACTTCGAGCAAGGAGATGGACAAGGAACAACGCCCAGGGTTGTTTCAGGGCTCGCGTGAAGCTCTCCTAGCCCTCCATAACGAAACCCTCAGCACATCCAACCGCTGAGGTTGAGTTCATGAACCTCTCGTGTTAGACATGGATGCCATCAGGGAAACTATCGTTTTGTCGGAACCTCTAGGTAGGTTCAGAATTGTTAGAAAAACAAACCATTTAGTTTTGTATATATATAAAACGGTAAACATTCACTCAAAAGGTCCAGTTGAAAACCATAACATTTCGGGAACGACAACTAATTGGGGTGACGAATGTATAGCATCATCAGTGTATCAGTTTCTGGGAATAAAAGTTGCAAGACAAATAAACGCACCGTCGAAACGGCATCATCCGCAGTCCAGGTCTGTACACACACGGTTTCACATCATTCGACGTCGTAACTCGTTTGCCAGTCGTGCGAATGGCACCAAACTGATTTGACACCCTTCTATTATCATTCATGACTCTGTGGTGTGAAGAAAACTTGCAAAAATAATCAAAGCAACGTCGAAACGGCATCATCTGCAGTCCAGGTCTGTACTCGCGCGGTTTCACATCATTCGACGCTCACAACTGCGTCACTCTTTCGCCAGTCGTGCGAATGGCACCAAGATGATTTGACACCCTTCTAATATCATTCATGACTCAGTGGTGTTAAGAAACCTTGCAAACATGAGCAACGCAGCGTTGAAACGGCATCATCTGCAGTCCAGGTCTGTACTCGCGCGGTTTCACATCATTCGACGCTCAGAACTGCATCACTCATTTGCGAGTCGTGCGAATGGCACCAAGATGATTTGATACCCTTGTAATATCATTCATGACTCAGTGGTGTGAAGAAACCTTGCAAAAATGAGCAACGCAGCGTTGAAACGGCATCATCTGCAGTCCAGGTCTGTACTCGCGCGGTTTCACATCATTCGACGCTCACAACTGGTCACTCTATCGCCAGTCGTGCGAATGGCACCAAGATGATTTGACAACCTTATAATATCATTCATGACTCAGTGGTGTGAAGAAACCTTGCAAAAATGAGCAACGCAGCATCGAAACGGCATCATCTGCAGTCCAGGGCTGTACTCGCGCGGTTGCACATCATTCGACGCTCACAACTGCGTCACTCTTTCGCCAGTTGTGCGAATGGCACCAAGATGATTTGACACCCTTCTAATATCATTCATGACTCAGTGGTGTGAAGAAACCTTGCAAAAATGAGCAACGCAGCGTCGAAGCAGCATCATCTGCAGTCCAGGTCTGTACTCGCGCGGTTTCACATCATTCGACGTTCACAACTGCGTCACTCGTTCGCCAGTCGTGCGAATGGCACCAAGATGATTTGACACCCTTCTAATATCATTCATGACCCAGTGGTGTGAAGAAACCTTGCAAAAATGAGCAACGCAGCGTCGAAACGGCATCATCTGCAGTCCAGGTCTGTACTCGCGCGGTTTCACATCATTCGACGCTCATAACTGCGTCTCTCTTTCGCCAGTCGTGCGAATGGCACCAAGATGATTTGACACCCTTCTAATATTATTCATGACTCAGTGGTGTGAAGAAACCTTGCAAAAATGAGCAACGCAGCGTCGAAGCAGCATCATCTGCAGTCCAGGTCTGTACTCGCGCGGTTTCACATCATTCGACGTTCACAACTGCGTCACTCGTTCGCCAGTCGTGCGAATGGCACCAAGATGATTTGACACCCTTCTAATATCATTCATGACCCAGTGGTGTGAAGAAACCTTGCAAAAATGAGCAACGCAGCGTCGAAACGGCATCATCTGCAGTCCAGGTCTGTACTCGCGCGGTTTCACATCATTCGACGCTCACAACTGCGTCACCCTTTCGCCAGTCGTGCGAATGGCACCAAGATGATTTGACACCCTTCTAATATCATTCATGACTCAGTGGTGTGAAGAAACCTTGCAAAAATGAGCAACGCAGCGTCGAAGCGGCATCATCTGCAGTCCAGGTCTGTACTCGCGCGGTTTCACATCATTCGACGTTCACAACTGCGTCACTCGTTCGCCAGTCGTGCGAATGGCACCAAGATGATTTGACACCCTTCTAATATCATTCATGACCCAGTGGTGTGAAGAAACCTTGCAAAAATGAGCAACGCAGCGTCGAAACGGCATCATCTGCAGTCCAGGTCTGTACTCGCGCGGTTTCACATCATTCGACGCTCACAACTGCATCTCTCTTTTGCCAGTCGTGCGAATGGCACCAAGATGATTTGACACCCTTCTAATATCATTCATGACCCAGTGGTGTGAAGAAACCTTGCAAAAATGAGCAACGCAGCGTCGAAACGGCATCATCTGCAGTCCAGGTCTGTACTCGCGCGGTTTCACATCATTCGACGCTCACAACTGCGTCACCCTTTCGCCAGTCGTGCGAATGGCACCAAGATGATTTGACACCCTTCTAATATCATTCATGACTCAGTGGTGTGAAGAAACCTTGCAAAAATGAGCAACGCAGCGTCGAAGCGGCATCATCTGCAGTCCAGGTCTGTACTCGCGCGGTTTCACATCATTCGACGTTCACAACTGCGTCACTCGTTCGCCAGTCGTGCGAATGGCACCAAGATGATTTGACACCCTTCTAATATCATTCATGACCCAGTGGTGTGAAGAAACCTTGCAAAAATGAGCAACGCAGCGTCGAAACGGCATCATCTGCAGTCCAGGTCTGTACTCGCGCGGTTTCACATCATTCGACGCTCACAACTGCATCTCTCTTTTGCCAGTCGTGCGAATGGCACCAAGATGATTTGACACCCTTCTAATATCATTCATGACCCAGTGGTGTGAAGAAACCTTGCAAAAATGAGCAACGCAGCGTCGAAGCGGCATCATCTGCAGTCCAGTTCTATACTCGCGCGGTTTCACATCATCGTTGTTCAATACTACGTCATTAGTGCGAATGGAACCATATTGAGTTGACGCCCTTTTCATATAATTAGTGACACCTGGTTTTATACTAATGATTACTCATGATTGTCTTCATATGTAACGTTGCTTATGGAAATATCAAGGTTTTTAACCGTTTTGTAACGAGGGTGTTGACATGCTGGTTGGTTGACGGCTCTCTTTCCGTTGTTGTTGGTCACGAACGTGTGCTTGTTCGAGCGTGTTGCCAGGCAGGTGTATTCAACAAACTTCACAACAAACTTCACGTAGCCTGACCTGCTGGGCCTGCGGGGAGTAGGCTCTCAACTTCAATCTCTTCTTCAAATACGCACGATAGAACGAGAGCAGAGCACCACCCGTTCATTACCTGCTGACTTAGTAGTCATCACAATTCCCGCCGATTTTTTCACGGTTTCTACGTGTTTTTAGAGGACACGATAACGACTGCAACGCGATATTTAATTACCAACTCCAGCATCAGATCGGCAGAGCACCACCCGTTCATTCCCATCTGTTATCTGCGTCTTCTCGGAGTTCCTTCAGCCTGTTACGAGACGCTGGTATTCGTTTTCCGTAACGATACCGACTTCACAAGTGATACGGTATTTTACTAGCATGGCACGCGCCCGGTTACACGCCTCTAACAAGCGCGACTCAGTAAATGACGTTAAGATGCTAAGTTTACAAAACAGTCCGTGGCGTAACCTGTCCAAATGCACCTCCGAACGCAACCTGTCCAAGCTGTGAGCCACAAATCTGAACGGACGTCGTCACAAGCCGCGAGACGACTAAGGCGCGCTGGCACTACAGGGCACCTATTTTTCAAACAACAAAACCTACGAGCATAATCACGCCATGTATTCTGAAAAAACACCATTTAAGCTTGACAATGCTTGATGGGACATGTATTCTGCTGTTGTTATTCATGTCTATATTTCTGACTTGACATGAGCAATCATAACATTCTTTTATGGCTGATGCCTGAGCAATACCACTAATATAATGTACAGAGATCTCAAGCGCCTTACATCGAGTATATCCAAAACAGTCTGTATCTGTTTTGCAATCCCATATAGAGCTACCTATAATATCGAACACCTCAATGAAGGGTTTGTGAGTGATTTGGTTGTTCAAATCTCGGATTTGGAAATGCGACTCGCTATGGCGACAAATCTCAGCCACTCCCTGTACTCCAACCAATCAAATGCAGCTAGACTCTAGTACAGCTCTAATCCCAGCCCTTGCCAGCCCACCAAGTAACCAGAAGCCTCGCGACTCCAGCAAGAAACCCGTCACCCTTCCCCCCTTCCCTACCCAGCCAAATTTCTCTCACAGATAGTACGCACAACAGTCTAGAAACCCATTCATAATCAGAGCAAGCCTGGCTGATTCACAGTTCTTTTCATAACCCTCTGTAATGTGGTCTCTTCTCAATGGGCCCTAATCTTCATGCCATACGGCTACG